CTTGCCTTTACTACATGAATTTGAACCTAAGTTTTCAGAACATCACTTAGTGGGGTGATTTAGGTAAGAATTACCTTTCTTTAGTTCATCATATTCAATGTTTATTTTGGCATAGTCAGATTTCAGTTTAGAGTATTTTACTTTAACATTCCCAAACTCTAACTGCATTTCCTTGATAGTGGACACTAATAGATCATCATCACTATAGTAATCACTGTCACTGAAATGAGTATGGTTGGAAGGTTTTACCTCGTTTGAGTTATGTCTTTCTGATGGCTCTTCAACATCAATTGCCATGTAGCTTTCTTCTCTTGTTTCCTCTCCATCCTCATCTTCTTCTTCGCTACAACTCCATCTTTTTCTTGCTAGAGGACATTCAACCTTGATATGCCCAGTTTTTCCACATCTAAAGCAACCGGTAGTGTTTTAAACCTTAACCGGTTGAAGTTGTTCAATCCTGATTTTGTGGAAAGTTCTTGATTGAGGGTATTTTGATGTACCACCTTCTTTCTCAACTTCTCTATTCTTGTTGATGAAGTTTCCTCTTCGTTTTTCTCTTCTCACTCGAAGTAGTCTACTAATTTGTTTGCTTAGTAGAGCCAATTCTTCATCCTCCATATCATCGAGATCTTCTGTATCTTTATTGTATGTGGTAGCCTTGAAGGCTATCCCCTTTTCCCTTTATCATTATTTCCCTTGTTGAGCTTGTCTTCATGGGTTGCTAATGACCCGATGAGTTCATCTATGGCTAATGTCTCTAGGTCTTTAGCTTCCTCTATTGCAGTTACCTTTGGAGTCCATTGCTCTGGGAGACTCCATAAGATTTTTCGAACAAGATCTCCACTTTCATATGATTTCCCAAGATTCTCCAGACTGTTCACAATGTTTGTGAAACGCTCGTACATTTGCCGGATCGTTTCTCCATCTTCCATTTTGAACAACTCGAATTGCTGTTTTAAGGAATTAATTCGAGATGTTTTGACTTGAGAGGTACCTTCATAAGTAACCTGGAGTTTATCCCAAATTTCCTTAGCAGTCTTGCAACCGGCAACCTTGTGATATTCTTCAGGACCGAGTGCACAATACGTGAGATTAGTTGCCTTGCAGTTTTGCTGAAATTTCTCAAAGTCATCGTCTGTCCATTTTTCTTGATCCTCCTTGAGCTCATACGGACCCTTGATGACTCTAGCCCAGATTTTTGGATCTGTAGATCCAATAAATAATTCCATGCGGTTTTTCCAATATCCATAATTAACTCCTTCAAATTTGGGAGGCCGATTTTGAGAGAATCCGTCAGCCAAATAGAGTGGAGCATTATTCTTGGAACCCCACGCCATTTCGATTAGCACCGGAGGTCGTTGAACCTTGTTCTACGGTGACCGTGCTCTGATACCACGTGTTGGTTGCGTCGAGCGCGAGACTTTTATATCTGTCTTCCAATAACTCAAACACAGATAAGCTCAATTATAATATTTTGTCCAATTGAATGACACACTAACGAAATCCAACTAACAGCTTAGCGAGTGTGAAAGTTGAGACTTTGACCAAATTACTAATTAAACCACCTAAGCTTAGATTCTTGTTTAAAAGCACTTTACTTAGGCTATTGCTAAAAGACCCACTTAATAAAACCTACAGAATTGCACGAATGGGCTTCTAGGCCCAAATGATCAATCCCAGCGGAGGAATTAAGTTGACCCGATACACCAGCCCAACTAAATTATCAACCCAGTCTCTAAGTGACCTGACCAATACGACAGTGTTTTAAATTGAAAATCTGAATTCCCTCCTGCAATCCTCTTCGATCAAAGGATACCCTGCTTCTTTTAGTGTGAAGAACAAAGGAAGAATATTAAGAACATAGCAGTAAAAACCCAGGAAATAATTATGCAAAGTGAATCAAACCCAGCTTCGATTAGTTCTCCAACCCAGGTCTGCAGTTCGTCTTCCGAGCTGCTTGTTGAGCAAATTTTCCTGCACAGACAGAACACAAACACAGACGGACAAACACTGCAGAATCCGAAAAACAGAATGAGAACACACACCACGATTTTTACGTGGTTTCCAGTATTGGGAGAATAAGAATTCCAATACTGACTACTCCACGGTCGGAGAATCACGATTGTCTTCGCTAGCTTTGTTGATCTCTTGAAAGGTTACATTTCCTCTTGCTTCAAATCTCCTTTTATAGGCTGCAGTGTAGCTGTTGGGAATTCAAAGTTCCTTGAGATCTTCATGTATGGTAAGTTCTTATTCTTTCTTCCTTTGGCCCGAGAACTTGCCTTAACTGTTTTTGGTCAGCCACCTCATTTCCAGCTGTGATTTGAATCTTTGCCTTGGCCTTCAAGCTGTTCCTGCAGTTAACATTCTCCCCCTCGGCTTGTCAATGGCCAAGCTTCTCCCCCTAAACTTGTCCAAGGTTCATTTTAAGCTGCTTCAAGGTTCTGCACACTTAAACAAACCGTTGGTGTAGCCTGTACAACTTCTAATGACTAATACATGATCAAAAATAAAACTGGGAGTCCATTTTATTCATAAAAAAAATCAACAAAGCACATTCAACACTAATACTCAGCAAGACTTATTCTCAAATCAACCAAACAAGACTCAAATGACAAAACGGACTATGCTCAAAACCGGGAAACGTCGGAGAGTGGTTTAGAGACGGTATCTTACATGCGGTTTGGTGGTTTGTATGGTTGGAAAGGAAGGGTGTTCGAAGAGAAGAAGTCAACTGCCAGTGGGGTGGCTAGAAGAGCTGCGAGGAACGCGATGGAATGGCTGGTGGCCATGGTCAGATTGATAAAATTCAGGTTGAGGCTTGGTTGCACGAGCTTTTGTTGATTTGATGACCTGTTGCGGCGATGTTGGTCTTGGTGTAGTTATAGGCGGTTCCCCTGGATATTCGTGGTGTTCGTCGGTTTTATCAGGGTGGGAGCTGCTATGGAGAGTTTCTTGATGTTTGTAGTTCCCTGCTGTTGGGTGGAGGATGGAAAGGTGGGAGCGATTGTACTAGTGGTAAAGTGTTTGAGGAGTAATCCTGGTATCCTGGTTTGATTGCCATCCTAGAGGTGGTTTTCTACAAGTTTTTGCAGGGCTTTACTAAGCTGGAATCGGACTGTCTCTTGCATGGATGCGACCTCTTCTTCTCCTTCCTCGGCAATAAATTGGAGGATTATTGCACGGTAAAAAGACACAGGTCGCAGAAGATATATAGGGGGTTAGGGAGTTTTAATTTGGTGGGTCTGCGAAGAAGATAGGGGACTAACAAAGTAGTATTTTTAGTTTGGTTCATTGTTTTTCTGTTTCAGTCCGTCTCTGCTACAGAAGCGACCTGTCCTTTTTGCAGTTTTTGTTTTGTTTACTTGTCTGGATTGAACTCTTTATTTTTTTATCTTATTTAATGCATCAATCGCCATTATAAAAAAAAAGCAATCCGCGACAGCAGCGAGCTTGTGAAGTTCTCATCATATTTATCGTCAAGAGGCTGGTTTGGAATAGAGAGCAAGGTGGAACAAGTTGAAGCGTTGTTGCGCTCCGGCGAGAAGGCTAATTGGACGACTGGACTGTGGGGATCGGCTGGCATTGGCAAGACCACCCCGATGCCTTCTACCGCATATTTTCTTCTCGATTCGAAGCTTCCTACTTCTTCCATAATTTCTCCGACTCGCTCGCCAGCTTGCTGTCTCTACAGCCATTCGGCAATTTGCAAAGTGGCTTCTTCTCAAAATTGTTGGGTGACGACGACGGAGGTGGTGGGACATTGCCCTACGACTTGGTGCTTCGCCGTGTTGGTCGTATCAAGGCTAGGGGTGGCAGAGCGGTTTTCGGTTAGCAGTTAACCAGACGGTTTCAACCGAACCGATCGGTTTTCGGCTAACCGAAAAACCGATTCTGAATGCATCGGCCGGTTGGCGGTGGGGAAGGGTAGGGGTTCGGCTAGCCGACTAATCGGGGTCGGAAACTGGCGGTTAACCGGCTAACCGACCCCTTCCCTTTCCCCAAAAATGACTGTGCAGCTTCAGTCCCCCACCACTAACCGTAATCCTCCCAATTCCCAAATCCATCCCGTCTCACGACCCCTTCCCTTCTCCCTCACGACCCCTTCCCTTTTCCCCACTCTCTCTTCTCTTCCCTTTCACCTCTCAAAACGGTAACGCACCCAAGAACTTGGAAACCCAGAAGAAGAAGAAAGAAGAAAGAAGAAAGAAGAAAAAGATGATCAGCGGAGCAGATTTCTCCCTCACGACCACCGCCTCCCTCCTTCTCCCTCACGACTCACGACCACCGCCGCCTCACGACCGCCGCGTCCACCTCGTCGCCTCCACCATCGTTGACGTTGCCCCGCTGCCTCCACCCTCGCCGCCCCGCCGCCCGCCCTCCGCCTCCACTCGCAGGCAGCAGCAGCTCGACCTCCGCCTCCACTCGCCGCCGCCTCCACTCGCCGCCGCCGCGCCTCTGCTATGTGTTTCCAGATCTGAAATGGAAGAAGTAAGGAGGGAGAAGGAGGGAGGGGTGGGTGTTGTCTGTTGTGGGTGTGAAATGGAGGAAGGAGAGAGAAGGAAGAAGTGGTCTGTTCTCTGGTGGGTGAAGAGGAAGTAGGAGAGAGAAGGAGGAAGAAGATAAGGATCTAGTGGTAGGGAATTTTCGTTTGTTTTTTTTATTTTCTTTTTAGAGAAGGGAGTATTTTTGGGTATGCGGCTAACCGATAACCGACCGGTCGGTGGTCGGCTAGCCGTGGTAACCCTCACGGTCGTTGGTCGGCAATAGAAGGTGGTTGCTCGGTTTAACCAATAACCGATAAATCGATTTTTGGTTAAACCGAAACCGACCGACTGCCACCCCTAATCAAGGCGTTGGTCGTGATCGACGACGTGGGTAACGATGTGAGCAACATTGGACCGCTCAAAGATCTGCTAAACGGACAGTACAGCGACCTGTTCGGTCCAGGGAGTACGTGTAGTGATCATGACCAGCACCAACCAACAGCTTCTCAAGGAATGTATGTCACACCGTGCATCAAGTCGAGGGTCTGGCTGATGATGAAGCTGGAGCGGCTTTTCTGCTTTCATGCCTTCAAAGGGGAAGAAGATGCACCAGCTGTTCACTATCTGGAGTTGGTCACGGGAGCTGTGATTTACGCGGGTAGAAATCCACAAGCGCTTACCCTCTTGTATGGTTGGGATCTCGAGTTTTGGAAAGACGAGCTCGGCTACTTGCAAAATAACGATCCAAAATCGGTGGTTGAGAACATCGGGCGAAGGATTTATGAAGGATTGAGCCGAGCAGAGAAAGATTTGTTCCTCGACTTGGCATGCTTCTATACTTATTGGGAAAAATAAGAGATAAAGTAGAGCAGGGGTACTCAAAGATGGGAGACGTAATCACATTACTAATCTTGTGGATAAGAGTCTTATAAGAATTGACGATAAAAACTGCATACAAGTGAGCCTGGTGCTACGAGACCTTGGTCGTGGCATTGTTAATGAAGAAGGTCAAATAAGAAAGTGCACGAGATTGTGGGAATCTGAAGATGTATCTATCCTCTTCAAGAAACCTAAGGTATAAAACGTTGTTTTTTTATGTGTGTCTGTGATAATCAGATCTAGAACGTCCTTGACAGGGTTGGGAAATCGGAAATAGGATTAGAGATAAGGACTTCGCAGAGATTGGCGAAAGATTTAGGGGTTGATATTGGTAACTTGGAATGGAATAGAAGAAATTAATTGAGTGGAAAGAAGGCGTAACGGTTCACACAAGCCTAGTTTCTAAAATTGTGGGTATAGTTTCTTTGCACTAATTAGATTTTGTTACTTTAGGAAAATGACAATGTACACTAAGCACAAGTAGAGAAAGATTATGTGTATTATGATCTAACCAAATATTATACCATAATTATATAATATGTAACCCGATATATTTTCTTAAACTTTTCATAATTATCCTCTATTGATATACCGATATAAAGTTCCCTTCCGTAATTTTCTCAGGTTTTCTTCCCTTCTGTAATTTTAATTTCAATTGAGGAATTTGTGAAAATTTATGTGTATAGACATTTAAATCTCTTTCGATAATTATCACAGACACATTGTTAAATGCTTAAGAATGAGAGCATCACCATAGAGACTATTCGCAAGAGTACATTGAGTGGGGCGTATTGGAGGCTGAAGGTAAGGGGCAATATTCGCCCACTAATGAGAGAGATTCACGGAGAGAGAGGTGAGAGAGCGAGTGATCCAGAGAGGGGAAGAGTTCTGGGTAGAGGGGGACATAGGTTGTCTTCTCATTTTTGCAGGATCCTAGTTCCGGCGCGGAAGCTCGGCGGCGACTCTTCGGAAAGGTGTTGGTGTGCGGCACGGATGGGATCGAGACTGGTCAGATTAAGCAAAGGTCTATTCAGAGGTGAATCTTGTTACAGGTTATAGGTCAATGCTATGAACAGTCGATGGTCAATAGTGATGGATGAGTGTCAGCTTGCTTGGCTTCAAGGGGTACTACAAACGGCGGCGATGAAGAATTGGAGATTCCCCTCTGGGTGTTTAAAAAAAAGTGGCAGGCAGACAATACATGTGGGGGTTAAACATAGCATACAGGGAGACTACCTGCAAATTGCTGAGCAGGGTGTTGATAGAAAACCATTTGTAATTCTCGTCCCTGGCACTGGAAATCATAAGGGCTGGCCAGGAGTTGTCTCTTTATTGCAGGATTTCTATCGCCTTGAGCATCGGCTACGGGTAAGAGAATTGGCAGGTAAATGGTTGGATGTCGTTTTGCTGGAGGCTCCATCTTCACCGATTTTTTCGGTGGCCCCTAGATCCTACGCTGATGTCGTCAGAGGGGGTGGTATCTATGGTGGTGGGACGTGCAACATTGTCAATGACTGTGGAGGAAGATATATTCATATTGGATCTGAAGGAGTTGAAGATAGAAGTGCTTTGCTAGAGAGGAGCCTGGTAATCAGGTTCTATCACCCTCATTCGGAATTTTTTACTAGTGATCAAATAGAAGACTTCAGAAGGTGGGCGGAGCACAACTGGGCAATTAATAGTAATTTTGGGTTGGAAAATTTGGAGGATGGTAGATGGCTATTGGTATGTCCGAGTCTATCAGAGCTAATGCGGGTCAGGGAACTTGACCATCTAAGATTTAGAGGATTCCAGATCAAGTTTTCGCTGTGGTTTGAGGGAGAATTGAACTGCTCCGTGCCTAATGATGTTTTCTGGGTCATGATTTTCGGGATTCCTTTACACCTCAAAAGCGTGAGTCTTATTCGATCAATTGGGGAGTATTGCGGGAAACTGATCGAGATTGATTGGAGATCCTGGGGTTCCTCTTTTGTTCGGCTAAGGGTCAAATCCCATAATCCGATCCCTGATTTTATTCCATTGGTTTATGTTGATCGAAGGTTTTGCGTTCAAGCTTGGAGTTCGCCGGAATCTTTCTCGGACGGTAAGGGTGAGGCGGTGTTAAGGTCGGGGAGAGGGAATTCGAAAAGGCGGGTTATTCAAAAATATGTCAGAAACAATGAGGCTGCAAGAGATTCTAGAAGGGATATGGAACGTCAGCACTCAGGAACCTCCCCCAAGGCGCAGCCTCTAGTGCGTGCTATTGTTCATCGGTCTCCCGGTGTCAGGGTTACTGGGGATCAGGGTGGGCGATTCAAGCAGGTTTGGGTGAGAAAGTTTGGGCCTCTGATTCGGCCCAACTCCTTTTGGTCAGAGTCTAGGTCTTTAGCGATGAGTACAGCCGATGGTGGGGATGAGGTAGTGGGCCTCTGCAAGGATAAGGGGATGCTTTTTGGGCCCAGCGGAGGAATTTGTGACGTTGCCAGTATAGATCAGGTTGATGGGTTCATGGGCTTCTTTTTCTCACGCTTTCTTCTTAGCCCTATGAGGAGTCCATCGCAGTTTGTTGTTCATTTCTTTTCCCGTGGCTTGACAAAAAGGGATTCTGCTGCTGCTATCCAAAGTTGCAGAGTTCCTCTTCCCTCGGCTAGAACTTTGAAAATAGTGATTGTTGATTTAGGTGGGGTGGAAATATCGGTAGCAAGGGCTTTGGATCAGAATATCTTGTGTCTGCCTTTATCTCAATCTGAGTACCCGGTTTATCCCGCTCCCCAACCCCAGTCTCCTTCCGGATCCTTGATGTCAGAAAGCTTACTTTCTCCCGTTGAGAATGAATTGATTTCTGATATGGAGTTTCCATCTCCCTCTTGCGTTGCGGATAGTCAACCGAGGTCTTGGAGTCAGGAGTCTTTCCCTTTTGATCTTGAGACTCTGGAATCTATATGTATAGAGCAGTGTGACCTTTTCTCTCTGGATGTCGAGCAAGGGAAGGAAGAAGTTCACAGAGTTATTGCTTGCCAGGCAAAAAGTTGCCTCTTAGAAAGGTTCGACCCAAAAGGACAAGGCTGGAGATGGAGAAGCGCAGACTTGGGATACTTGAACAGATGCCGACTGAGACCCGTCGGAGTGCAAGGAATGAGGGTCGATGTTTTGATTTGTGTCATATGGACACTTCAGTTTTGGTGTGGAATGTTAGAGGCCTGTGTGATAGGGATAAAAGAGCCAGGATCAAGTGCATCATTGGTATGAAGAAACCCAAAATAGTGGGTTTAGTGGAAACTAAATGCTCAGATTGTGATGAGAGGTTGATTCGGAGCATTGGAGGATTGGTGGATGTTGGATGGGTTGCTAAAAATGCTGAGGGGAGCTTTGGGGGAATTGCCATCAACTGGGATAAGAATTTCTTCACCGTAATCCATTCTAGGGAGGGTCGTTTCTTGCTAGAAGTTAATCTTGAGGAGGTGTCTTCGAAGAAGCTTTGGAAGCTGGTGGTGGTCTACGGACCCCAGGATATCGAGGAAAAGACTGGTTTTCTTAATGAGTTGCTTACTTTGGGGCAGCAATGCCAGATCCCTATTTGCATTGTTGGAGACTTTAACTTGGTTCGAAGCCATGAGGACTACAGGGGTGCAAGGCGTAATAGCCATCTTATGTTTGAATTCAATAAGGTTATCGATGATTGCAGCTTTATGGAACTTCCTCTTAATGGGTGCAGGTTTACTTGGTGCAAAGGGGGTAACAGCGATTGTCTCTCCCGAATTGACAGAGCTTTGATATCTACTAGTTTTGACAATCTGTATCCGGATTGCACTCTCACTGCTCTTGAGCGAATTGAATCGGATCACTCACCTCTTTTACTCAGGTGGGTTGCGAATTTCAGGGTGCATAGGCAGTGGAAGTTCGAAAATATGTGGTTGGAAGATGCAAGGTTTTATGAAGGTTTGGCTGATTGGATTTCTTCACAGATTCAAGGTCGCGGGGCGGTGTTTCGATTTGCTCGTAGGCTGCATAATCTCAAAGACCACATTAAGGCTTGGAATAGGGAGTTTTTGGTGACATGAATAAGAAGCTTGATGAACTCTCTGCTGCGGTCCAGGAAATCAATAGGCAGGAAGAGACTCGCCCTCTTTCTATTGAAGAGACTTCCAATAGAGATTGTCTCCTTGTTGAGATTGGAAAAGTGCTTGACTTGATGGAAATTTAGTGGAGGCAGAAGTCCCGAGAGATATGGTTAAAAAAGGGAGACAAAAACTCTAGTTTTTTCCACAAAGTTGCAAATTACAGAAGGAAGGTTAATCGGATTTGTAATATTAGAATTAATGGGAATTTGATTGAAGGAAAGGATTCTGTGGCTGTGAGTATTGTTGATTTTTATGCTGGCCTGTTTAAAGAGCAGATTCACGTTCGGCCTTTCCCTGGGAATATCAGTGCTCGAAAGATTAGTGAGGCAGAGCAGTGGGCTCTTGATATGCCCTTTTCAGAGCTCGAAATTCGGGCTAGCTTGTCTGATTGTGATGGTGATAAAGCTCCTGGGCCAGATGGCTTTACATGGGAATTTTATAAAAAATGCTGGAATTGGATAAAGGCGGATATCATCACTATGTTTGGGGAATTCTATTGCTCGGGATTCTAGCCCAATAACGTCACTCACTCTTTCATCTGTTTGGTTCCGAAGAAGGATGTTGTGGAAAACGTCAGTGACTTGAGACCGATCAGTCTGATGGGCAGCTTTAACAAACTGGTGAGCAAAGTCTTCTCTAGAAGACTTGCTACCGTTCTCCCTAAAGTGGTTTCTCAGAACCAGCATGCTTCAGTTAAGGGCAGGCAGATTGGAGACGCTGGTCTAATTGCTGGTTTGATGTTTAAGCTGGATATAGAGAAAGCCATTGATAATGTTAATTGGAACTGTTTGTTCAGAATCCTCTCTAATATGGCCTTTTCCGAGAAGTGGGTAAAGTGGATTAAGGGTACCATGTGTAATTCGAAGCTTTCAGTGC